AACTGGTTTCGCGCTGCTCATCACAAACCTTTCTAGCATTTTCTCAACATAACCCCGTTGAGATAGCCGCAGTTTCCTTGAGTCTCTGTCCCTGCAAATTTCCATTCCAAGAATTTTCTTTGCAGCACCTAAATCTTTCATATCAAATTCCTGACTCAATAAAGTTTTCAAACCGATAACATCATCCATGTTCTTCGCAGCAATCAACATATCATCAACATACAGTAATAGAAAAATAAAAGAACCATCATCAAGGCTCTTAACATAGACACAACAATCATACTCACATCGGTTGTAGCCAATCTTGATCATATAGGAGTCAAACCGTTTATACCACTGTCTCGGAGACTGTTTTAACCCGTACAAAGATTTCTTCAATCTGCAAACTAAATGCTCGTTTCCAGGTTGAGTGAAACCTTCAGGTTGCCGCATGTAGATCTGCTCCTCTAAATCACCATGCAAAAAAGCAGTTTTAACATCCATCTGCTCTAAATGCAAATCCCAACTAGCCACCAATGCAAGTACTGCTCGGATTGAAGTGTGCCTGACCACAGGAGAAAAGATTTCATCATAATCAACTCCTTTCTGCTGTGAAAAACCCTTCGCTACCAAACGAGCCTTGAACTTCTCCCCCTCTTTTTCTGTTACTGCTGGTTTCTTTTTATACACTCATTTGCAACCAATCGGCTTCTTACCCTCAGGAAGGGGAACTAACTCCCATGTACGATTGTGATTCAAAGACTCCATCTCCTCAACCATGGCTGCCATCCACTTGTCGTTTTCCTGACTAGTAACGGCATCATGAAAAGTAACTGGATCATCACTGCTAACAGTAAGTGCAAAAGATACCAAGTCTTCAAAACCCAATCTGTTCGGAGGCTTTATATTCGTCCGTCTCACCCTATCTCTGGCGAGAATATAATCCTGCAAATCATCCGTAGTGGAACCACCAGAAGTCGGTTGAGAAGTTTCTGGTTTCTCAACTGGAAACTGCTCGAAATCTACCACTGTCGTGTCTTGCTTCTGCTGCAACATAGACTGTTCATCAAAAACGACATCTCTACTAATCACAACTTTCTTCGCAACTGGATCCCAGAACTTGAATCCTTTGACACCTTTCTTGTAACCCAGAAAAATGCACTCTTTCGATTTTGCATCAAGTTTGGATCTCTCATCAGCAGGTACATACACATAAGCAGGACAACCAAAAATCCGTAAGTTATCAAAACTAACATCATGACCAGTCCATACCTCTTCTGCAACTTTCCCAGCCAGCGATGCCCTTGGCGATCTGTTGATAAGGTAACACGCCATGTTAACAGCCTCAGCCCAGAAGTGTTTGGGAAGCCCCGCATTCAACCGCAAACATCTGGCTCTTTCATTCAACGACCTGTTCATTCGTTCCGCAACACCATTCTGTTGTGGTGTCTTGCGCACTGTAAAATGCCTCTGAATCCCATGCTCCTTACAGAATTGTAGGAACTGTGAATCTGTGTACTCCGTACCATTGTCAGACCGCAAACACTTGATTTTTCGTCCTGTTTGGTTTTCTACCTCAGCTTTCCACAGCTTGAACTTCTCAAAAACTTCAGATTTCTGTTTCAAAAAATACACCCAAACTTTCCGTGAAAAATCATCAATAAAAGTAACATAGTACCTAGATCCACCCAAAGACGATGTCGTGGAAGGCCCCCATACATCAGAATGCACATAATCAAGAATCCCTTGAGTTGTGTGCTTCGCAGTCTTGAAACGGACTTTAGTCTGTTTACCAAGAACACAATACTTGCAAAAATCGAGCTTACAGCTTTTGACACCATGCAACAAGTTTCTCTTGTGTAATTCTGCCATACCACATTCACTAAGATGAGCAAGGCGCATATGCCACAATTTTGTCGTATCATCATAGGACTCAACAGAGTGAACTCCACCTGCAACGGTACTCCCTAACAATCTGTAGATATTCCCTGCAGTCATCTTGCCTTTCATCATAGTCAATGCTCCTTTAACAATCCGAATGGTTTCCCTATCCTCGTCAGCCTTAGGGATAAAACCATTCTTGTGCAAAGTGCCCAAGGAAATCAAATTCTTCTTCAAGTCTGGGATATGTCGAACACCACTCAACGTCCGAACGAAGCCATCGTGCATCTTAATTCTGACATCACCAATACCAACAATATTGCAACATCGATCATCACCCAAATAAACCGAACCAGAATTAACCGGCCTGTATGTCAAAAACCATTCCCTATTTGGCGTGATGTGATAAGAACATCCAGAATCAAGAATCCAAGCATCTGTCAATTGTGTCGTTGAAATAGAAAGCATATCACCCTCACTGCAATCAGAAGTATCATCCTCGACCACGTTCACAGACTTGGATGAGCCATCACGCTTCTCATCAGTCTGCTTTTTCAACTTCGGACAGTCTCGCTTCATATGTCCCGCCTCCTTGCACTTGTAACAGTGAATCATCTTCTTATCCCTGGATTTGGATCTGGAATTCCGCTTCCCGGACCCTACCTTCTCTGGCTTCCGTCCACGATCTCGATTACCCTTGACATATAAGCTATCAGCTTGAGAGCTTTCCCCTGCATTCTGCTTCCGCTGGTTGTGAGCCAACAAGGCTGCAGTAATCTCCTCAACGTTGATAGTCTCTTTCCCATATGTAAGAGTAGTCACCATGTGTTCGTAAGAGGAAGGCAACGAACACAACAGAATCATCTCTCTGTCTTCATCCTCAATTTTCACATCAAGCCGAGCCAGATCAGAAACGATTTGATTGAAGACATTCACGTGTTGCGCCAAATCGTGATCGTCCTGCATCTTCAGCCCATACAACCGCTGCTTCAGATACAGTTTTGTCGTTAAGGATTTGGACATAAACTGACTTTCCAACTTCCTCCAAATTTCGTCTGGAGACGATAGATGCATGACGTGATACATGACCTCGTCCGCCAAGCATAATCGTATGGTTCCTGCCGCTCGCTGCTGCAATTCTTCCAAATCTTCCTCATCCATCGACGCCGGCTTTGTAGGTCGCAAAGCCTTCAAGATCCCTTGCTGCGCCAATAGATCCTTCACCCTCGTTTGCCATAATCCGAAGTTACCCTGACCATCGAATTTCGCGACTTCGAATTTTGCTCCTGACATCTGATACCAATTGTTGACGAAAACGGGTAAAGAAAACGAAAGAACACGAGAATTTTACGAGGTTCGACAATGTGCTTACGTCCTCGGTGCCTAGGCGGCGCTAGAAGTTTTATTCAATGATATTTTAGGTCTAGGTTACATCTCTATTTATAATAGAAAACCCTGGTACATAATTACAAAATCAACCCTGTACCGTACCGGGGGGGCTACGCCCCGCACCCCCAACCCACATAATTTGTAACCCCACAACGAGACTTTCTTTGTAAGGACAGTTGATGTTCGCTCACTCCGCTCCATCTCCTGTCCTCTTTACTGGTATATTTATGAGCCATACCTAACAGTTTGCTGAGAAGGTCCGAAAGAGGTACAACATTTTCCCTCTTGGTCGAAGGAATGTGCAAAACAAGTCTTTTATCGCATTAATGGCACCATTTGCGAGGAAACATCGAGATGATTACTTTTAAACAGTTGAAGACTCATACACGTAGGACTGACGTAAGAATTTATGTTAGATGGTAACAACTTAAGAGATTATACTAAAAATTTTAAGGGGTGCAAAGTTAGAATATTAAATAATTAATAAAAGATACAAAGAAAAAACTTCAACTACAAGGGAGTTTGAAATTTTCAATGGTGCGACCCCACCCTCAACATCCCTTTGTTAATCTTTTATATACATGACATTATATCATTGGCATAGTCTACAGGAATAAAATATTGGAAGAAATTGTATTCTCCGACTATTTAAGGGAAAGTTAAGGAAAATGTCCCTTATTTTTTCTTTTATTTTTTATTCATCGTAATTTTTCCTGAGAAATTCTATTGAAATTTATTTTTCTTTTCTTTTAAATTTTTTCTTGGCATGAAGAAGAAAGGAGTCGCAAATGGGGTGAGAAGTCTAGAAAGAAAGAAAACAGAAAGGAACTAATCATTTTTGGTGATTGGAGATTTACTGCTTGAGCGACTGCAACAAGATCACATGTGGGGATCAAGAATGGTTTTATCTTCCTTTGTTTGTTTTTCAGGCTAGACTTCATCTCTCGGCGTACATCTTTGTGTAGCATGTGTTAAACACTTATGGGGTGGCTCCAGACCAATTGACTAGAGCTTCCTGGTGGACCGTTATCGATGGCTTTGGTACGAAATCTTTTTACTTTAAAATGAGGTGGTTTAGTGAGTTGGTTCGACCCTTTTAAGCTTCATGTAGAGGCATATCATACCAAGGGAATCAAGATAGGAGAGTCCATCGTAGATTAGAGCAGCAAGTAAAAATTAAGTTTAATGCATTTTATCCACCCTGGGTTATAGAAAACTCGTGATATCTTAAATAGCAATGTTTTGTTCACTGCTGTTTTTATCCCTCGGAATTGTAACAAAGTTGCGCATAAGTTAGCTTCTCGGGCTCTTCGTTTAGGAAATACGTTTTTCTTTGATTCGGTTTATCCTAAAATTATTGCTTCTATTGTATCACGTGACATTGTTTCTGAGTAATATATCTCCTTTGGACACTCTTTTATGATTATAAATCCTTAGAGATTCTTGGTAGACTCTTTTTTTTTTAAAAAAAAAGAAATGATTAATAAAATATCAATAGTGGAAAGAATTGATTAAGATGCATAAGACTTATTAAATGTTATATTATAAATACCAATAACTGATGTAATATGAGGTAATAGGTTCCCTTAAGTAAAGTCAGAGATTCGAATCATGATGTTTGTAAATGGATCAAATTGGGTTAGAGGGTCAATCGATTAATAGATCGAATGTCAATGATTAATTTTAAAAAATTATATTTATAAATGAATATATGTATAATTTTTTATAGAATATATATTATAAATTATAGATTTATGCCAAAAGACAATAACATTCAATACGGAGATAGCTGTCACAGTTGGCCGCTTCCAGCACATGAGCACAGATACACACCAATAATTAAAAAAAAGAATCTACACCAAATTTCGAATTTAATATTTTTTTTCATTCTCCACCCAGAGAAATAAAAAGAGTAAAAAGTTGTAAAAAAATCATTTTTTTACAAGGGAAGAAAAAGACTAAAGGGGACACGTAAAATAAAACAGATATTTTAACTTATTAGGATGAAAATATTTTTTATCCAGCCTAATTGGTTTCTCTCCATCATGGGGACCACCATCGAAACACGTGTCGATTCTTGAAGAGCTGTATGATTTCAAAATTTTCTTTCATCCAAGGTCAATAGATCGATGTTCCCATCTCAAATCTTCTCGAGTTTATCTGCTTTGACCACAGGATTAGCTCGTGCGATCTCCTCTCTTCCAACTGTTTTGAAATCGAAAGTACACCCGTGATTCTCTGGATACCTGTGCGACCCGCAAAAAGTAATTCCGCATCTGCATCTGAACCCGGCCAACCCGATCCGTTTCCGGCAAACCATGCACCGATTTGGTTGTTGCTGCGGTCGCTGCTCAGCCGCCAGGGCAATCTCGATGGTCGGAACAGGCGATTCTCCGATGACTTCAGGGAGAGTGAATAGCGAAACCTGAGAAACGGATTCGACAACCGTTGAGGATGACGAAGGGGAGGAAGAGAGAGATGATTTGATCGAAGCAGCTCCTTGTTTTTCTTTAAGGCGAAAATCTCTATAACATTTCGAACAAAGATTCATCGTCGTCGGACTGCCGAAAAAGCCGCAGTTGTTGACGCAAAGACGGTGGCCTTCCGGCGTTTGGCATCTATGATCCTCCGCCATCCTTTTTTAAACCTCTCGACCTATTGAATTGCACAAGAAATTTAATCCACTTGAGATCGGATCTGCAAGATCTAAAACAGAAATGTTAAAAAGAAAAGACAAGGAAAACTCTGAAAACATCAGAATCGAAAAAAAAGTTTGGAGAAAATGCCTGGGAAAGAAAAGCTGGAAGGAAAGAATTATCAGGAAGAAAGCGTCAAGAGGCAATAATATTAAAGGGCCATGGGTGAAAGACGAAACGACGAAAAAGGTAGAAAATAAAATTAACGACTGATAATCATCAATATTTTTTTTATTGAAGGGCCAAAAATGGATGTATAGGGAAGCCGCCTTTGGTTATCCCTAATTGCCTGCAAATCAAAATTGGACACGGAAATTCATGCAAACAGAAAGAGAGAGAGAAAATTAAAATTACTCACGCGCGCCACTGCTCTTAACCTAATTAGCTGACTTTTTTTTATATGTATTGAGGTAAGAGAAAGTATGACAGTAACTTACCCCAACGTCCGGTTGAGAGCAACTTTCGTGGAGACCTCTAAATTATGAAATGCTCTCAGTGAGACTCGATCTCACACAAGGTTAAGAGCCTTGTGCCCTTAACCTAAGTTATACCTAATCCAAACTGTATCATTTTTTCTTAAACAGACTTGTAAACTTTTATTATCAAGATGCCTAACGTTACAAATGTTATCATTTTAGATGTCACAACCGTAATTGTTGTTAAAAGACTCGGTTAAGTGACTCGTGTCACATTCATACTTTCATGAAAATTTAATTTAAAAAAAAATAAAAAATTAATATTTTTTAAAAAACACTTAAATTTTTTAAAAAATAACTCCTAATTCTTAAGATCTTTATTATAGTCCCCTTTACACCAACTATCGATCATTTTTTGGGTACCCATACGTCGTCGGTCACCCACTGACTGATCATAACCTTTATTATTATCTAAAAATCCAAAATTCTCAAATCGCTATATTTAAATCTCTAATCCTTTTAATCTATCGTGATAAAGGACCATTTAGCCGACTATAGCAGTCGACCATTTAGTCATTTGGTCAGTTGTTTAATTGGCCTTTGGGCGTTTGGCCATGGGGAGGAAGGGTGAAAAGCAGGGGAAGAGAAAGTAGAGGAGGGAGGGGACATTAGTTGGGGAAGGGTTTTTTAATAATATTTTTTTTTTTAAAAAAAATAAAATATTTAAAATTCTATAAGTTTGACATATGTCACTTAACGAGATTTTTAAACGGTCATTACGATTGAGATACCTAAAATTGTAATATTTGTAATATTAGACACTTGAATAATTAAAAATATTTAAATGTTTATTTTAGAAAAGCGTTATATTTGGACACTTGTTTTATAATTAAGCCTAAATAAATTATTATTTTTACATTATTTATAAAAATGATTTTATTTACAATTTATAAAAATAAAAATAATTATAATTATTATATTCATTTATTTTTTAATTAAACTAAGATAATTATAAAATAATATATATTTCAAGTACTCTCAATAATTTAATCATAAACGCTTATTTACTCTTACAACCGTTAGATGCTTAAACTTGTAACCTACATAAATAATAACTATTCTGTTTACCATCGAAAAAATTTAGTTAATTTATTGTATATCAAATTATAAACATAAGCGATGCTAATGATGTGGGCTTAACCGGAAAAAGTGGCTGACAGACGCGCCATTGGAAGCGTGTGGGAGAAGAAGGGGGTGCATGGTTCAGCGGCAAATGATTGAGGGTCTTGAATAAAGTTTAGAGCTTGCTGTGTCAGAGACACATAGCGGAGCTGGGTCTAGTACCACCAAATTCGCATCAAATAAAAATTATAATAAAAGAGAAATATGTCGATTTTGTTAACTAATAATTCAAAGGGTATAAATATAATAACGGTCACTGGGTTTTTAAAGTATTTTCATTTTGCTTACTAAAATAAAAAAATCATTAAAATCTCTGCCAATGAAAAGGAATTTTCATTTCGATCATTATCATTAATAATAGTTAATTTGATATGTCTATCACGTCGAAATTTTGTTGAAGAGTATTAATTTACTAGAGAAAATTACATGCGACATATTAATTTAATTATCTTTAAATGAGTGAGAATGTCGCATCGATTGATATTAATGATAGTGTTCAAAATAAATAATAATAATTATGTACGAGTTAATGATATTATGTGGACATTAATATTAATGAAGCAAAATTAAAATACTAAACTATCAAACAAATAGAATCCAAACGACATGTTGAATGATAATCATATGGTTGAGAATTTTATCACGAATCAATTTACCTCAATGATTAAAGGAATTATTGTTATTTTTTAGAAATCAAGAATTTGAACACCAACGATTGTAGTAAGATAATTGAACGTTTATTACCAAATGATTAAGAATATATAAAATAAATACTATTTAATAATCACTGTACCTTAATATAAAAAAACCCTCAATTTGACCATTCTTGCTCGATTCGCCAAACAAACTCTCATAAAAAGCCTGCAAAACCAACATTAAAGACTAAGACACTTGTTGGCCTGCCACATTAACTGTTTGCTTAAGATCTGCTGCACATAAGTGCGCGTGAGTTCGAACCTCATAGTCAGCACTTCAACAAATGTAATTAATTTTCTTGCTGAGCTTTCATATGACGTGACATTTACCATAAGTTATTTTTTTTTGAGAATTTGTTCGATGAATTGAGTTTTCTTGCAAAACTACGGATGGGGATGAAATTCGAATCCGATGAATTTTAAACGGGTCGATTTTTTTAAAAAAGATTTTAGATTTCGGTATGGTCGGGTCGGATTTTTTTAAGGTTATATTTGGTTCGGGTTGGTTTGTTTTTAAGATAAAAAATACTCGATCTGACTCCAAAAAATGTAATTTTATCTTATATATTCAAGGATAATTGTAATAATATCTATATATATATATATATATACTATTTTCTTTCAATTAAATCTCTATTTTTATCGAATAAAAATAATATTTTTTAATAAATATAGTAGTTCGAATCGGGTTCTGATTTTATCTAAAAAACGAGTTAGTTTTGTTGTGGAATTCGGGTTAATTTCCACCAATAATAACAAATTCACCTTGAAAACTATTATATAGGTGACTAGTGTGAAAACGATTGTACTAAAAATCACCCCAAGGTAGATTCCCAGGAAAGAGGATGGGTCACAATGGTCCCTCTTAAAATCCACTTTCCTTAGACAGAACTACCAAGACAAATAATTTTAATAGGACAATAATTAACAACTATACCCGACAATAACTATTAAATATACATAAAGAGAACACCAAAATTTAACGAGGTTAGGCCAAAATTATGCCTACCTCCTCGAACACTACTAAAATAATATTTCACTAATAGAAGAAATATTACAAAGAGAGAAATAGTACAAATAGCCTTTAATAGTGAAGAAAGCTTATATTTGTGGGATGCTAAACTAAGGAGGAGGAGGGCTCTATTTATAACAAAAGAATTTCCCTTCTTCCTTATACACAACCAATGTGGGATTTTGCCAAAAAACCAACAAATCTCCACCTTGACAAATTCCACACACATCTCTAAAAAATTCAATCTTCAGTAGTGTCTGCAAATTCATCTTTCAATTTGTAATAATATTGACCAAGTCTAAACAATGTTTAAACTTGACTGCAGTTACAACTTTTGTCAACATATCAGCATGATTCTCAGTGGTCCGAATCTTCTGGATTATGACTCCACCTTCTTCTAGAATCTCTCGTACAAAGTGATATCGAACATCGATGTGCTTCGTCCTTGCATAGTAAACATGGTTCTTTGCTAAATGAATAGCACTCTGACTGTCACAATGCTCATTGATATGCTTCTGTTTCATTCCCAATTCACCAAGCAACCCATGAAGCCAAATTGCCTCATTCACAACCTCTATAACTGCCATATATTCTGCCTCTGTAGTAGATAAAGCCACTGTTGAATTGTAAGGTGGACTTCCAACTGACTGGTGCCTTTGCAAACCAGTAGTTGATCTACGCTTGTCCAAATCACCTGCATAGTCTGAATCACAACACCCAACTACACATTGACCATCTTGTTTGTCCTGCTAAAAGACCAAACCAATATCTACGGTGTTTAGAATATACAGCAGAATCTATTTCACAGCTTGTCAATGCTCCTTTCCAGGATCATGCATATACCTGCTCGCAACCCCAACTACCTATAAAATATCAGGTCTTGTACACACCATTGCATACATCAAGCTACCAACAACACTTGCATACGGAACCTTTGACATGTATTCCCGTTCTGCATCATCCTTAGTTGACATAGATGCACAGAGCTTGAAATGAGGAGCAAGAGGTGTACTAACTGGTTTTGACTTCTCATTCATGTCAAAACGTTTTAGTACCTTCCTCAGATATTCTTTCTGAGACAAACAAAGCCTCCCCAATTTCTTATCCCTTGATATCTCCATGCCTAGAATCTTCTTCGCTTCACCAAGATCCTTCATCTCAAACTCCCTGTTCAATTGAGTCTTTAGTTTCGCAATTTCTGTCTGACTCTTGGAAGCTATCAGCATATCATCAACATAAAGAAGAAGATATATATAAGATCCGTCTTGTAGCTTGCGTAAATACACACAATGATCATATTTGTTTCTTTTGTACTTCTGCCCTATCATAAACTTGTCAAATCACTTATACCACTGCCTTGGAGATTGCTTCAATCCGTACAACGATTTTTCTAATTTGCACACCATCTCTTCTTTTTCAACAACTTTGAATCCATCTGGCTGAGTCATGTAGATTTCCTCATCCAAGTCTCCATGTAAAAATGCAGGTTTTATATCCATCTGAACTAGTTCCAAATCCAACTGTGCTACCAAAGTTAACAAAAATTCTGATGGAGGAATATTTTACAACTGGAGAAAATACTTCATTATAATCAACTCCCTCCGTTTGAGCGTAGCCTTTAGCAACCAATCTTGCTTTGTAGCGAATGTTATTCTTGTCAGGAAATCCATCTTTCTTTGCATATACCCACTTGCACCCAATTGCCTTCTTTCCCTTCGGAAGACTAGCTAGTTTCCACGTCTGATTCTTTTGAAGGGATTACATTTCTTCA